CACCAGGCTTAAGTCAAACACTATGGCGCTGTCTGACAACCGATATTTGAAAGCAAGCATTTATAAAATTCAGGTCTCTGAAAATATTCACACATTCATCAGATACCTTGTAACTTAGTATAAACTGCCTAAATACTGAATGAAGAACCTCAGATACCCTAGATACAGGTCAGAGAGTACTTCACCATACTTAGTAACTGAACAGAGAATTCCTTAAGAAAAGAAGAAATCAACAAAGTTTGGCTGCCTAAATCAAAGAGAATGGCTTAAAGTGAAAACTGTAGGGGAAAAAAATCTTATTACCTTTGTTTTGTTGGTCAGTACTGAACTACAAATATATCTGGACTGTATTGTACCCATCAACAATACTCTAGGTTCATATACATAGCAATTTAATGTACACAACCATCAACCTTATATTTAAATTAAAAATAGGTACATCCATTTAGAATAGAACAAACTTCTTCGTAAATAAGGCATTTGTGGAGGAAATGCAAATAGTGAACTAGACAATAGCATCTGACCTCTATGGGCTAGAGTTGTTATTGGGTAAATTTAAATACATTTCTCAGCCTACCAGGATATTTTGATAACTGGACTAATATAGTAATTGCAGCTGTACAATGGTTTAATCAGACAGACACAAAGGAGGGAAATAACATGTTTGAAGAGTGGCTGATTTCTACTTCCACAAGATCCTTAGATTAAGAAAAAATACTAGAGCAGTGTATTGCAGTTTCAATTTACTGCTGCTTTTCTGAAATACCGGTAAAAAAAAAAAAAAAAATACCAATTTTTTCTGAGATGGCTTATTAGTCACTTCTCTGACAGGAAAATTTAAGAGTAAAATGGCTGCATTGATTTTAAATACATCTCCCTGGGATGCACAAATTCTACTAAGCAGGTGTCTTCCCTCTGCAAATAAATGTTCTGCTTCAACAGTCAATTGAGTTTCCTTCATTTCCCCTGACAATTGGAAATAGCATTTTAGCAATTACTACTGCAAGGTAGAAAAATAACCTATAAATAGAAGGAAATGCTATAATTTGGGTAACATGCACTAGTCCATATTTTAGAAAAGATCTAAAAAAAACTAGAACAAACAGTTATATATGCTGCTGCCAGGGAATACATGCAAGCTACAAAACAGTTAGGAAAGAAGGGTACATTCTGACAGATTAGGAAAGTCCTATATAAAGACAACCCTCCCCCAGAACCTTAGGGTTTTAAAATTAAAGTGTATTCTTGATTATGAATGACAGGCTTATAATCAAGAGTTCACATCTCTTTTATAGCAATTACTTGACCACATACAGGTTTTATTACATTAAACAACGGAAGCAAAGAGCTTTCAGTTTTAAAATCTAATTATTAAATCTTCAGTTTTCATTAAAACAACATGAAAGGCTATTCCGCTTCTACCAGAGCAAAAGAGGTCATAGAGAGGGCTCTAGAAGCATCAGAGACTGTTATCTTAAAAACTCATTCTGGTGAATGAGTTAATCTCTGCACAAGTTTCTGCTTTGCTTCCTCTTCCTGCCACCCTCCCAACTCAAAAGTTCAGTTCACAAGCTTTCTTCCATGCTGCTGTTTTTTTCTTTTAAATGTCACCACTTACTTTCAAGGGAGAGATTTGCAGAAAAAAACAAACAGGAATTAGGGTCACAATCCAGAACCAACTTACACCAATTCTGCAGGACCAGATACCGTGCCCAACTCCCATTGACACTTTAAGAGAATCAGGTACTTACTTCTCCTTTATTGACCACATGCCACAGTGTACCACAACCACCACATTAGGCTCTTGGGGTTTAAACAAAGGGTCAGTTATCGGTTTATGGACTTAATTACTCTTGTTACCGGCATCTATGAAAGGGGGAACAATGTGTGTTCTTACATCTGAGGAATGAGTACTCAAATTCTCAGACAATGGAAGAAGATACAAACATTTCCTCAAAGTCTATGGCACAACCCCATGGACAGGGTCCATCCTGAGGACATATGAAGAATTAGACAGTAAGGCTAGGGACAGAAGTTACACATAAGTAAGTTTAAGTAATCAGAAACTGGTTTAAACCTGTAACAGAACAGAAGTTCAGTGCTCATAAACCAGTTTCAAAATGGCTGAAACTGGTTTAAGATAAACCTGGCTGAATGTAGTATCAGACTTAACCGATTCAGGTCAAACCAGGTTATGAAACTTCTGTCCCAGACTCCTTCCTGGTTCAAGTTAAATCACAGTCCCCCAGCATGCTTTCCAGCCCTGGGTTGTGGCTGGGCTTGCCGCCTGCTCCAGCAGAGAAGGGTTAGAGGGGAAGGGACTGCCACCCTGGGCAAATCCCGGCTGGGGTCTGGGGCCAGGGAGGGGGGCTAAACTTTCCTTCTCAAGTACAGCGCTGCCCTGCCTTGCTAAAAAACTTACTTCTGGCTGTGACTGTGGACTACAAATCCCAGAGGCACCTGGAAGCAGGAAGAGGAAGTGCTAACGTAGGGGTCTGGGTTTTCCATTTCCCATGGAAAAAGAGAGAAAACCATAGATTACCTGGTTTTATAAGAAAAAAATGTGGATTTTCTCTTTTAGCAGAGAAACCTGCGGATTTCCCCCTTTTGCAAAGAGCTCTGCAGGTGGCTGAGTTCCCGCCTGCCTGCAAGAACTGTTTGCAAAAAGGGCAGGAAAGCCCCAACCCTGCCCAGAGGGGCAGGGGGAGGGGGAGGCAGAGGGGGAAGGGCGGAGCCTGCAGCTTTTAGTCAGTCACAAGGCCTAGGTCAGGCTCACTTTTCTCCCGGAGCCTGTGAAGTGGTATGTGGGGCTTTCAGGGGCTGGGGTGGAAGCAGGGAGGTGTTGGGGAAATACATGGGTGCCTGACTGGCTCTACATCTTCCCACTTGCTGCTGGAGTGCCTGGCCGGGGGCAGGTACAACTGAAGCAGCTCCAGCAGCCCTTAAGGGAAGCTGCACATGGAGGCACCAGCTGGAAGCGGGGACTTGTGGAGCCAGTCGGGCACTCAGTGTTGTTCACTCTAAGGGGGCAAGGGAGACCCATGCCCCCAGATCTGTATGGGGGGCAGGCTGTGGGCTTGAGCTCCTCCCTGCTTCCCTCCCATGGGGCTGCTGCAGCCCCGCAGGCAAGACTCAGCACAGCTGGGAACAGCAGGGCTGTGCCAGAATCTCTTTTCCCCCCACCACCATGCCTTCTACTGTTCTGAGTGGCGAAGCTCCACGCCACTTCCCTCAGCACAGCCCTGCATGCAGGAGGTGCACCACTGGGGCAGTACAGAGTGAGCTGCTACTAAGGAGATCACTGCGTGGCTCCTCTGTCCCCAGCCACGCCAAGTCGTGGGGAGGGCAGCAGGGGCAGCTGCTCGCTCTGTGCTGGCCCAGCAATATACCTCCTGCATGCAGGGCTGCACTGAAGGAAGCGGCGCAGGGCTCTGCCACTCAGAGCAGCGGCAGGCACAGGAGGCCCAGCAGGGGGAGGAAAAAGGAGATCCTGGCATGGCCTTACTGTTCCCAGCTGTGCTAGGTCTTGCCTGCGGGGCTACAGAGGCCCCACGGGAGGGAAGCAGGGAGGGAGCTCAAGCCCACAGCCTGCCTCCCATACAGATCTGGGGGCATGGGTCCCCCTTGCTCCCCAGAAGTGCACGCAGCCACTGGGAGCCAGCCCTGCCCGAGTCAGCAGCAGCAAGAGTAGCAGGGCAGCCGGCTCCGTACTCCTGCTGCAGCTGCCTTCTGTTGGGGGCAGGAAGCTGTGGACCTGGGTCCCTGGTCCCATAGCCCTGACAGCTAGGGGCCCCTTCCAGCAGGGCAAGGGGGCAGGGGCTGTGGGTGGGGCTCAAGGGGCATAAGCAGGGCTGGGGGGCTGTTGTGGGGGCAAAGGAGGACACAATCAGGGCCAGGGGAGGCTGTGGGGGGGCCTTTAATTTTAATCATGGATTTGGGGGTTTTGTCAGAGAATTTGCAGTTTTTTACAATGGAAACCCAGGATCCCTGGTGATGAGCAACTCTGCAGAGTCCTGATACTGTGAATCTGGACTGCAAGTCCCAGAGACCTCAGGGGCAGCAGGAAGAGGAAGCAAATACACAGCCTATACTGGCTATATGCTAGAGAGCAATGCTCTACCACCCCCTGGCTTCTGGCCTGAGCCACTGCAGGCATGTGGCTGCATTTCCTGAATAAACAAAAATGAATGTCTGTCCAACTGTTTCTCAGTTTAATCTCTGCAGCTTAGACTAACCTGCAAAAACTGAATCAATTCAGCCTCTGGCTTTTTTACTGTATTTAACCTAAGGTATAGGCAATCTGCCAACTGTCCCTTAGGGTCCCTGAACCCAGCAGAAGGTGCACTGAATTTGCAAGGCAAGAGGTAATAAATTCTAATCCTATGGCTGTTAGAATTCCTTTGCCCTCTTCATACTCTATTACTAAACACAGCTTAATATTACCACCTTCGGTGAGTAAAGTGATGTTTATCAGTTGTCCACATCAAGATAACTAAGAACTTACACACAGTGCTGGGAACAAAGCCCAAGTCCACCCACACTGTTCCGTAGTCTTTTAAAAGGAATAGAGGTAAATCAAATGCTTCTGTAATCTAGTGAAGCTCTGTGTCTTCCTCTGGCAGCAAGACCACATATGGAAATGACAACTCTGTTACTGTGTGAACACCAAAAGATCTGGTTCCTTTGGCCAAGTGGTGGAAACTCACTTTTACGTCCACTGATCCCTCATTCAGTCCCAGTAATGCCTGAAATAGATGCTTTCTTCTCTTTGTTTCTGCCTTCTGTAAACACTATATCATAACATACGCCCAGTACCAGGATGAATAAACAAGTATCCCAATGTCTAAAGTTAAATCTTTTTCCCACCAATACTTATGTGATCTACTGGTAATGTGATGTGTATGTTGCATTTCCCCTGCAGGGCCTCCTCCACACAGGATAACAAGATGCTTTCCAGCCACTTGTTACAGCTATAGAACTGAACTGGAAATGGTTGGTACCTGGAGACAAAGGTTGTGGGTTCAAAATCTGTTGATGACCCATAAGAATGAAAAAAAGAAAGAAAGAAAAAGAAAAAACACATTAAGAGTAGAATAATAACTGAAATAATTCTATACAGAGCAAAACATCAGTGAGATTGCAATGAGAATGTGCTCTACTCATGTATGTATGTTAAGATTTTACCTATTTCACTTAATAACAGCTGGCATTTTAACAAGGTGTAAAAGCTTTTGCCTGTAAATCCAGAGTGTAAGAACCTACTTGCATCAGCTCCAAAACCTCAGAACTTGACTAAATAAATGTTGTACTCCCAGAAAGGAAACTCTCATTCTTAAAAAGTCTCTTTTTAACATTTTTGGGAACAGCACTGCCCAGAGACACCCAAATTATAGTAGCTATAGATGGCTGATCTGCAGGTAAAGCAATTTAATTACTGCTGACCTGTGTTTCAAAAATTGTTCTCATCTCCAAGTTACTGAGTTAGCTCCTCTCTGACAAGGGTTTGAGAAGTCTGACTCCCACATCCAATTCACTGCTGTGTTTTGCACTATACTGCAAGCTCTTTGGGGCAAGGACTCTCTCTTACGCTGCATCTGTGAAGCACCTAACCCAGCAGCGGGCAAAGTCCAGCCTACAGGCCAGACCCAGCTCACAGTGGACCCTTGTTTCCCAGAAGCCCCTGCCTGCATTGCTGAAGTGGGTTTCCCTCGAGACCCCAGGAGCAGCAGAGCCATGATAGTGAAAGACCAGGGTTTCCATGGAGACTGGACGCAGAAGTGCTGGCAGGACGCACAGCAGGGGCGTGCAGGCAGCAGATCATGGCTCTGCCCCAGCTCTGGACCATGTTTCATCACTGCAACATCCCAACCACTGCCCCGGAGCAGCTCCCCCTCCAGCCGTGTGCCCTGACAGTGCTGCTGGAGCCAGTCTCCATGGAAACCCCGGCCCCGCAATGTCACAGCCCTGCTATCCCTGGGGTCTTCATGGAAACTAGCTGCAGCGACACAGACAGGAGCTGCTGGGAAACGGAGTCTGGCCACCAGCCGGATCCACCATTTTGCTCATCTCTGGCCTAACCTAATAAAGCTCAAAGCCCCTTGGGTCCTCTAGCAGCAGCCCCTGCTGTGGAGACCAAAATATCTTAATTTCCAATTGATGAAAGATGACCCTACTGTAATTGTCATACAAGTGCATTAGAGGCAGACAGAGGGTTTTTCTACTTGCACAGGGGCACCATCTCTGCTGAAAATTTGAAAAAATTAAAAGCAAAAAAAAAAAAAAAAAAAAAAAAATGCGTAGAGAACTGATCCTGCCTAAGTGCAAAGAATGGAGCAGAGGAATTCTATTCAACATTTCTATGAATTCAGACTGCTGTAGTATAAAGCCACCACTGTATTTGTTGCAAAGTGCTGTCTACTGCAATTGCTATCAAGGAGCTCAATCCAGCCAAGCCACAGTAGTTGGATCACTTTTAAGTCCAATCAATTAATCAGCAAAAACCAGAAACCTTGGTGATATTTACAGTCAGCTCTTCCACTGTTATATTTCCCCAGAGAAATTACTGCAAACCATCCTAGCATAAAATGGTATTGATATCCTGTAAACGATGCTAGTTTTCCCAGGGCATTTTAAAAAGTGTGCTCTCCATACACATTTTGAGCAAACAGCTTAACAGAGCTGCATGTTATATCCGCCTTCCGAAGAGATGTCAGCCTCTTTGAATACAAGACATACCCTTGACGAATGTAGCAGCACTGTCACGTTTCCCAACATCCAATGGCATCCCCATTACTAAGCACTTTAGCGAGACAGGAGCCCTGTCTGCTTCTCAGAAGGAAGGAAAGGGAAAGGCGATGCCACCCTCCTGCATGTGCAGTGGAAACCATACGAGAAAGCAAAGTCACAGCCCAGCCTCAGACTTTATCCGTGAAGTCGCTGGTGTCACTGGAACACTACACATCTGGTCCCCAACATCTGTCTTAGCTGCCACAGCAAAAAAAAAAACCCAACCCAAAACCCAACCACCCTCCACTCACTGCTTGAATCTCTCTGCTACACCAGCCACACTGGAAACTCGGGATGCTGCTCAACACCTGTGTGGAGGGGACCCACCACTACCAAAAACGGGGTGGGAGAAGAGGAGGAGAGGGGGTTGTTTACGGGGGTGACGGAGCATCCCTGGTCCTGGCGGGCAGCCTCCTCCTCTGCAGCCTGGCAACAAACCTGCATTAACTGGGAGGCTTGAAACACATGTATATGCGCACACACACCCTTCAACACACCCCCTCCTTCACACACACACACATGCACCTTCAATATCCCCCACCCGCTTTGACACGCGCATGCACACACCCGTTGCCCACACGCCTGCCCTTGGACAAGGCGCAGCCGCCCGCAGGTGCCGGGCGCTGCGAGGGGGGG